ACTGTATACTATTATATACCATAGTAAAAGAAATCAGTGTTTGGCTTAGCCAAATTATCTAAGTATATTTTTAACATCAATATCTATAATTTGTATTTTTATTATTTATTATATTTTTCACTCTTAAGAAATCATAAAAATCATACCTAAGGATCTAGAAAATATCTTGCCATTATGTAACCCACTATACTGTGAGCTTCTTGAAAGTTAGAATTATGTATATCCTGTTTTTTTTGTTGTTGTTGTTCTCCAAATTTTGTTCGGTACTTGACATATAGTAAGTTAGGTATGTACGAAAAATCTTGCCAAGTATTATTTATGGTATCTTATTTTGCCCTATGTAAACTCTGAGATATTGTTACCGAACCAGGTCCATTTGTCCAGTGAGTAGCAAGCCAAAGGCTGAGGTGACGAGGTTTATAGCCAAGAAGGAGTTTATTCACAAGATAGCCAAGCCAGGAGAGGGGAGAATAAGTCTCAGATCTGCCTCCCTCAAGGCAAGAGGGTTGGGATGTTTATGGGATAAGCAGGATGGTCTTAGGCATGGGGATGGGAAAAGCTGATTGGAGGTAGGGATAAAGGTTAGGCAATCAGTGTTCTGTGCAGGCTCATCTGGGTTACATTTCAGCATATTGAAAATAAAGGCACTTAACATGATCCAAGGGTGGAGTTTGTCAGCCCTCTGACTTCTAGACATCATTCTTCAGACACCTGTGCAGGCCCAGTTTTAGGGTTGGTGGGTCCCACTGAGCTGACTCCAAGATTCTGTAAAACAACTGGGCTGTGTGAAGTGGGAAGGATATGCAGTTAAAGACAGAAAAAGAAAAAAATAACTAAAGTGAGTATAGTCAATGAAAGCAGTTTATAAGCAAAGGAGTTTTAACAAGCTGTTCCCTTATCTGCTGTTCTGTAAGACAAGCTCAAGAATTTCTTCCTTTACTCTATGAGGCACAGTTTCAATATATAAAGTTATCTCCATTTTGTATGGGTTAAAGACCTGTATGTAAGACCAGATACTATAAAACTCCTAGAGGAAAACATAGGCAGAACAATCTCAGACATAAATCACAGCAATGTATTTTTTGAACCAGCTCCTGGAGTAATGGCAATAGAAGCAAAAGTAAACAAATGGGATCTAATTAAACTTAAAAGCTTTTGCACAACTAAGGATACCATCAACAAAATGAAAAGACAACCTACAGAATGGGAGAAAATATTTGTAAATGATACAACTGAGAAGGGACTAATTTCCAAAATATGCAAACAGCTCATACACCTTAATACCAAAAAAAAACAAGCAACCAAATCCAAAAATGGGCAGAAGACCTAAACAAGTAGTTCTTTAATGAAGGCATACAAATGACCAGTAGACACATGAAAAAATGTTCAGCATTGCTAATTGTCAGAGAGATGCAGATCAAAACTACAATGAGATATCACTTCACACCAGCCAGAATGGCTATCATTAAAAAGTCTACAAATGATAGATGCAGGAGAGGGTGTGGAGAAAAGGAAACCTTCATTCACTGTTGGTGGGAGTGTAGATTGGTACAGCCACTATGGAGGACAGTATGGAGGTTCCTTAAAAAACAAAAAATAGACTTACCATATGATCCAGCAATCCCACTCCTGGGCATATATACCTGGAGGAAAATAAAATTCAAAAAGACACACGCACCCCAGTGTTCATAACAGCACTGTTTACGATAGCCAAGACATTGAAACATCCCAAATGTCCATCAACAGATGACGGATAAAGAAGATGTGGTACATATATACAATGGAGTACTACTCAGCCAAAAAAGAATAAAATAATGCCATTTGCAGCAACATGAATGGACCTGGAGATCGTCATTCTAAGTGAAGTGGGCTGGAAAGAGAAAGAAAATGCCATATGATATCACTTATATGTGGAATCTTAAAAAGGACACAAATGAACTACTTATTTATAACTTAGATGATTGATTTCTTGAATACTTGTAAGCACATTTGACTGTCCTTTATGATTGGATTACCGCATTCTGTTGATTCTTATTTTGTATTTGGCTTTATTCCTTTAATGACTATGTAAGTTTAAAAGCTAAAGCTCTAATCTGTTCTTAGAAACAATAATCAGTACATATATTAAACTTAAAATTGTGCAGTATATTGTATATATGTACTTACATGCAATAGAATGAATATGTGTAGTCAAACAGTAATCTACCTAATAGAACTGAAAAGGAAAAAAATTATCTCAATTTTGTAAATAAAACAGGCTCAGAAAGATTAAGTAAGTTGTTGAAGGTCACACAACTGTCAAGTCACAGAGAAGCAAAGGATAGGATTTGATCCAAGGTCTGTGTGATTTACAGGTCCATGTTCTTTTTATTAAATTGCTTTTCTCTTATTACTCTTGTAATAAGTTCTCAATGTTCTATATAAGGAGAAGGAGTGGTAATAGTATGTACCTCATGGTTGTGTGTTGATTAAATAGGTTTATATTATGAAGTGCTTAGAAAAGGACCTGGCAGCTACTAAAGAAAAATTAGGTATTATTATTACCTAGTAATAGCTAACAGGAAATTCGAGATGGTTTCTACTATCATCCATAATTATTTTATATGTGAATGGTTGAGTAGGATCACTGTCATCCCTCACTATTCTTGGTATTTTAAGACTTTATGGCCTATATATGTCTTTTCCATTATCATTTCTCTCTGTTACTAACATATTTTACTAACTATGTGGGTAAGGTATGTTTTATGTTGAACATTTTATTGGTAAAACCTGTCATGTGGATTTACTCATAAAAATGTTTAAAGCTGAACATTATACCATCTCCTACCAAACGAATTACTACCTGATCTTAACCAGCTGTAATTCTTTTTGTGTTTTTAGTTTGTGATAATAATATTTTGGTTTCACTGAGATGGCAGTCTTTTCATTTACATTTCCTAATCTCTTTACACTATTAGATAACAAAGATTCTGTTTTCTCACTTTATCACATTGTTTCCTCTTATGTGTACATATCTTTATATGTTCAGCTCATTTGTGTTTCTGTGTTTTGAAACATGGCATTCTCTCTTCCTGAACTTACACCTGTGCTTTAATACGTGTTTAAAAAGTCAAATTTTAGTTAACTCTTTTTTGCAACTGTATTTTCCAGGTAGTTAATAGGTTTACCTCAGTAAAATTATGTATTTTTTTTCTCTTAGTCTAAGATGTGTAATCTTTATTTTTGCAGATTATCGTTAGTCTTTGTTTTGAAGCTTTTTATGTGAGTCAGGATAAGAATTTCATGTTTTGCTTTATAAGCAACTTAGCTGGTATTTATGAGATGAATTTCTGGGCCTACTGTGGAATTTATGAGAACTATTTTATACTTAAATCTGTTTATTTCATATCAGTTTAGATACAAGTTTATTAGGGCTTTTTTCAAAGTATATCATTCATTTTATATTCATCTTAGTATTACTCATTAAAATTTTCTTTGCCAGGAAATTAAAAGTTACAAATTATGCCAAATCAAATACTCATTATTTTGCTTGTTTTTGATAGCTATATTTCACCTTTTGAATATATTTGATCATTACTGTTAGACTAAAATAGATGTCAAACTGAAAGAATGCTGTAACTAGTATATTAAAGGTTGAGAAGAGCATAGCTTTTTTACTTTAACACTTATCATATGTCCATCTGTATTTTTCTCTAAAATTCTGGCTTTGCAGACATTTGAGGCACAACAACAGGGCATCCTGTATTCACTTTTGGTAAAAAATTGGCAGAATTTAAAAGGTGATATCTTCATTTTCAATTTTTTGTACCTTTTTTCTTTTTTGCTCTGTATTTTTCTAAACAATTAAATAACAGTCCTTGTAGAAAAGGAGCTTATTCCAGATTAATCCCCGTTTATATTTTCTTCATTTACTAGTAACTTTATTTTCATAGGATTAAAAAATTGCTTTCATATCATAAATTGTTAATTTTAGCATGAAGTATTTTGAGGGTTGGTTTTCTTTTTATAAAAAAAGCAAACATTTAAGTGTTCTTTGTATAAGATGGTTATTGCCTAATTGAAATTTGTCTTATTTGTCCATTATTAGCCAATTTTTTCTTTATGAAAAAAATTTACCATTTATTGAGTGTGCATCATTTATTTAAAATCAGAAGTATTTCAGAAGTGCTTATGTCATAGTTTGAATTATAAATTGATGTTAAATTAGGTAAAAAAGAGCAATTCATAGTATTGTTAATGATTAACCTTGTCTTTTGTCAGTGTGACTATTTTTCTTAATTGGCAGTTTGAACTTAAGTATGATAAATTAATCTCAGGATATTTGCTTATATGCATTTTTCTGCACATTGATAATTTTTTTCTAATTTCTATGAATTAGTTTAAAGTTAAAATTCTTATTCTAATTTCTTTTACATAGGATACAGTATGATACTGACATTATTTGGGTAGGTGTATGAATAATATGGATGTTTTCCTAATTGTTGACCTTTTTCTTTTAATATTTGTTTGGCCTTCCTAATTTACTTATTTTTCCTTAAATTTGTACATAATTAAATAAACAGTAGAAATATCCAATATACAAAAGAAACATAGAAAGAAAGAATTCAGCGATTCTTTTTACTTTGGAACCCAGTCGTGGTGCTCGGTTATCCCTTAGTTGAAGTTATTGTTATTTTTTCCCTTAGCGTTCCCATCTTATGTCATAATAGTCTGCAGTGTTTTAAAGCTTTCTTTAAAGCTTTCCAGCCTAAAATATGATTAAGTAGCATGTTTTCTGCTTTTTAGAAAAAAATCAATTTTCTTTTCCAAACAGAATGAGAAATTAACCTATTAATATTTCCGCCTTCTGTTTGGTCTGTTGCTCTATGTAGGAAAAATGTTTTTCATTGTTCTGTTACAGTAGAAAATGCTTTTCATTTCAGACTGCTTGTTCGTGGTGTCCTATACAATTAATTTATTCCTTCTACAGTATAATTTATCACTTTTATTTTTTCACTTAGGATTTTCTGCCGTTTCTTGGCAAAAATGGCAACCAGTGATGCTGTTCTGAAGAGACTAGAACAGAAGGGTGCAGAGGCAGATCAAATTATTGAATATCTTAAGCAGCAAGTTGCTCTTCTTAAGGAGAAAGCAAGTAAGAAAATTTAAATTTTCTAAGAGGATACTCAAAAATGAATTCATAAATTGACAGAGCAGAAAAAAATGTTTTTACGCATACATTATTACTTCACAATCTTATTGATAACTTTTATATTCCTTTAATAATAATTTTGAGTGAAATAATATACTAGGATTAAGGTAAGTTAGAATTAGGGTAAGTGAATATATGATATTTAGAGAAAATGTATTACTTCAAGACTACTAAAGGAAAATTAATATTTAAAATAAATTGGTATAGAATTAGAGATGAAAAATGAGGAAATTGGGTAAAATCAAGTATGAACTAAAACATATTCTCTAATCTTGTATAGAAGAAAATATATACTTTCACATTACTCTCTGCTAAAACATTTTATGAAATGACTTTTACTATTTTTCCAATACTTTAGTTTTGCTTAGAAATTGCTATGATATGTACAAAAATATCCAATATGAATTTCTGCTTTTAGAATGTAGGTTGACTTTTGTTTTGTTTGTTTAACTGTAATTTATTTCTCACTAGCCAATGTTAATGTAATGAAAATTCTAAAATCTTTTACCATCACTTACAGAAATAAATGCTTTTTCTCTGCTACATAAAACTGAATGGCTTATAGAATCCTACATTTACTCTCCCCAGATTTTTCCCTTTATCAGTTTTTTTCTTAATTTTAAATACTGTTTTAATTATTTCTTTTTTTATAATATTTTATAAGTATTTTTCTTAAGATTTTAAGTGCTTTCTTATTATTTAAAACTCTTAATATTTCTTCCCATTAATAAGAAAATATATAATATAGAGATGGATGTAATATAGAGAAGAATTTTTAAATTCTTTTAAGAAAGTAATTTGTAAATAGTAATAATAAAATATGTATTTCAGTAAGTAAATACTTAGGTAGGACTATACTCCCAGACATATGAAGGTCATATGCTATATGGTTCAGATATGTGAAATCACCAAGAATGCTACAGGTATAACACCGTTGATATAGACTGATATAGTCTGCCTTAGTGTAGGAAATTCAGATACCAGAAGCAGCCTTCAGTCATGTTTTTGATTTACTTGGAATGACCAATGATTCTTTAGGTAAAGCTCCTGAACAAAACAAAGTACAGTCTCTTCTTAATTTGCATGGTACTTGATTCCTAGAAAATTCAGAGTATAATGAAAACATTTAAGAATATTTCATGCTTATATATAAAAAATGTTTAGGATCTAGGCTCAAATAATTAACAAGATTTTCACTTATACAAATATACAGTAAGTCACTGCAATATCCGGTAGGATGTGAGATGACTGTTCATTTTGCAGGAATATCAAGTATATTGCAGGACATCTGGCATCCCTGACCCCTCTCCAACAAATGCCAGTAATGACTCCCATTATTTGTGACAATCAAAATGCTACCACAGATTTTCAAAATCCCATCTAAGGAGCAGTACCAACCCCACTGAGAGTAACTTTTTTTTTTTTTTTTTAATATTTCTGTATACCCTGTTGCTCACCTTTAACACATACTATATATTGAGCAAATCTTTGGAGTTATTTCATTCATTAAATGTTTGACCAGCTCAACTTCTGTGACATTAGGAGTAAAAGATTATTTAGCTCCTTTTACAAGGTAATGACTAAAAAGAAATAAATGAGAATAATTTTTTATTGTTTGGTATCATTAGATCTCAAATGTTTTTAAAAAATTGGTATATCTAATATTTGTCTTTGTTTCTTGCAGTTAATGTTACTGACACTCTGAGTTTAAGTTGTCATAAGCATCTTTATAAAAGCTAGGAAAATGATTGGTAAACAAAACCTTTTCACAGATTTTCTCCCTTTTTCTCTCTCTTTTAAATATGTTCTTTTAATAAATACTAAACTGATGTAAAGGAACTGGCCAAACATTTGGTTATGAGCTATGTTTATACTGACTATGCTGTTTTCAAGTAGTATTCATAAGAAACCATTTGGAAAGCACTGCTGTATCGATCTTATATGGATGTTTTTTGATCTCAGTTTTGCAGGCGACTTTGAGAGAAGAGAAGAAACTTCGAGTTGAAAATGCCAAATTGAAGAAGGAAATTGAAGATTTGAAACAAGAGCTAATTAAGGCAGAAATTCAAAATGGAGGTGATTAAATATGGAAATGATAGGTTGTTTTAATTTACAATAATAATTAGTATATCATTTATTGTTTATTAAGTTAGGTTTTATACTTGGTTGCTCATCTTATCCCCACAGCAGCCTTCTCATGCATTCATCCTCCGAGATTGAAGAGACTTAGAAAAGGCAAATGATCTTGCCTGAGATCATGCAAAAAGTATCAAAGCTGGGGTTTAGAAACCTATGCTTTTTTTTCTTTTTGGTATATATATTTTTATTGAAGTATAGTCAGTTTACAATGTTGTGTCAGTTTCTAGCGTATAGCATAATGCTTCCATCATACATGAACATACATATATTTGTTTTCGTATTCTTTTTCACCATAAGTTATTATAAGATATTGAATATAGTTCCCTGTGCTATACAGTAGAAACTTGTTTATGTATTTTATAAGAAACCTGTTTTTAATCTCTGTACTATACTTCAACTTGATCATCACTGTTCCCTAGTGAATAGTTGTAAGCCATAATAATACTTAATTAGCATTTATTAAGTTTTTCTGTATACCAGGCACTGTGTGCCAAGTGATTCATACATACACATTTTATCCTTAAAATTATTTGTACACAAATATCCTTGTTTTATACATTGAAGCTGAGAGATGTATAGTAATTTGCCTGAAATTAAATACTATTTATAAGTTATCCAAGCCAGCAGGTAATTATCATTTCAGCTATTATGTTGTAAATAAAATTATATTTTTTTGAATTATTTCAAAGGTGTCTAGCTAAATTTACATTATTATAGAATAACATTAATAGTAATAATAATTCTATTATAATTTCAAAGTACCACATAGGAAGGCATTTGATTGTAGTGTAGAAAATATTTCCTAGGTGAATTAAGGAGGCCCAAGTATAGGGAAACCTCTCTTACTACTGCTTCTTTTGACCTTTATTCTGTCAGTAAGTTATTTTGAATGCTGTACTGTGAACTCTACCCTTAGTGAGCTAAATAAAAGTAAGGAAAAACATCAATAATATTTATTTAAAACTATCAACTGGAGAGAATATTTTTTGTCAGTGGAAAATTTGAGGCTAATTGATGTTTCTCAAGATTAGGAGGTTTGGAATATAGGTATAGAATTAAATAAACAACTAAAATATTAGCAATGTTAAACTTCTTGTCATTTCTTCTAGCTCTAGAAGATTGCCCTGTAAACATTAAACTTTTAAATTCTCATCTTATTAATGAAATGCTAAAACAAATCAACAGCTTGAATTAAAGTGCTGAATTCCTGTCTGATGGTGAAACATAAAATAGGAATGGATGGAGGGTCACATTACTAAAAGAAGCAATAGCCTCCAAGGAACTTAAAAAGTACCTCAGAAAAGTGATCTGAATATTGGCTGGAATGTCAGCCGTATCAAAATCCCTCACAAGATTATATTTTTGTATGTTCACTAGGCTATGAAAATGTTTTTAACATTGCTGAAGCAGTTTTCTTTGCTTCTTTAAAAAGTTGTTTTTTGAAATAGAATTATGGACAAGTGATGCTATTGTCTCTCCATTAATTCTGATATAGAAATGACTATTACTTAAACATCTTTCCAGTTGATTGTTCAGTTTAAAAGAAAACCTGAGTGAAAAACATGCCGTGTTGCTAAACCATGAAGGTATAGTCTCTGGAGACAGCCAGCCTGGGTATAAATTCTTACTTCCCTACTCACTATGTGTATGAAGGGCCAGTGTCTTCTGTTTGGCTCAGGTTGATCATCTGTAAATAGATATGAATAGAACTTACCACGTAGGGTATTAATGAGAATTGCAAGAGTTAATTCATATAAAGCATTTTGAAAAGTGTCTAGGACTTACTAAGTTCATAATAAATATTAGCTAAAATTGTTGTTACCTATAATTTTCTCAGTTTAGTTATTAGTGATTAAATGAAAATAATGCATTCTTTTATCATGGTTAAAATATACATAATTTCTTGGCAGCCTTTTTATAATCTCAGATAGTAGAGACTTGATACTCAAATACAATGAATTTCTGTTTTAAAAAGAGTTCATATTTTACCATATGAGCTGGCAGTTCCGTTCCTGGGTTTATATATCCTAAAAAACCAAAAGCACTAATTTGAAAATATACATGCACCCCAGTGTTCATACAAGCATTATTTACAATCACCAAGATACGGAAGCAGCATCAATATCCATCAACAGATGAATGGATAAAGATGTGGTATATTTATACAATGGAATACCACTCAGCTATTTGAAAAAAATGAAATTTTGCCATTTGCAGCAGCATAGATGGATTTGGAGGGTATTATGCTAAGTGAAATAAGTCAGAGAAAGACAAATACTGTATTAAATCACTTACATATGAAATCTAAAAAATACAACAGACTATTAAATATCACAGAAAAGAAGCTGACCCACAGATACAGAGAACAAACTGGTGGTTACCAGTGGGAGAGGGGTGTGGGGAGTTGGAGTATAGGGGTAGTGAGTTAAGAGGTATAAGCTATTAGGTATAAAGTAAATTACAAGGATATATTGTGCAACATGGAGAGTATAGCCAATATTTTATAATAACTATACATGGAGTATAACCTTTACAAATTGTGAATCACTGTATTGTACACCTATAACTTATATAATATTGTATATCAACTATACTTCAATAAAAAAATTCATATTTTTGATTCACAGTTTCATGGTTTTCCATTTGTTTGCTTGAATATAAATGGCATTATCTATTTTCTCTGTCAGTGAAACAAATACCATTCCCATCTGATACTCCACTGCAAGCTGATTCTACGGCTTCTGAAAATGTGGTACAGTCTATACCAATAACAACCATATCTTCTGGTGCCAAAGAGCAGATAAAAGGAGGAGGAGAAGGAGAAGAAAAGAAGGTGAAGGAGAAAATTGAAAAGAAAGGTATTTTTAACCTTTAAAGTTATTTGTCACTTGACTGGTTTATCAGATCAACATTTTTGATGACAATAATGGCATCACAAAGAAAAGTTCAAACTTTTATGAACTAGAATAAAGTTTGGAATAATCGGATATTGGAACAGAGAAGCTGGGCCCTAAAGGACATGTGAAGATTGACCAGGTTGACAGGGGTAAGAGTGTGGCATTTGAGGTAGAGAGACCAGCATAACTTAAAACGTAGAAAATAAAGATTACGTGTAGAGGCTCTTGTATAGTTTGATCTGACTGAATTTAGGTGTATATATAGAGTATATATAGTATATAGGGACTTCAGAGAAGTCACAGTAGAAAGTTACCTTAGAATCATTTGTGAAGACAGAAAAAACAGAAGGTATGAACTAAGGCATGGGGGTGTTAAGGTTTGAGGAACCCCAAGGAACTGAAGTAGGAGGTATATCATGTCCACTTAGGCAATCAGACTAGAAATCTTACAGTCAACTTAAACTTGTCCCTGTCCCTCAATTTCCATATCTAATTGGCTACCGAAGCCTATACAGGCATACCTTGTAGATGCTGCAGGTTTGATTCTAGACCACTGCAATAAAGCAAATATTGCAAGAAAGCAAGTCACAAGAATTTTTTGGTTTCCCAGTACACATGAAAGTTAGTTTACACTATACTATAGTCTATTAAGTGTTCAATAGTACTACGTCTTAAAAAATAACATACACACCTTAATTAAAAGTACTTTATTGCTAATGCTAGCTATCACCTGAGCTTTCAGCAAGTCATAATCTTTTTGCTGGGAGAGAGTCTCTTTTTGATGTTGATGGCTTCTGATTGATCAGCAACCTTGCTGAAGGCTGGGGTGCCTGTGGCAACTTTTAAAAATAAGACAGTGAAGTTTGCTGTATTGATTGAATCTTCCTCTCAATCTTGCTCATCCATTGGAGGCAACTCTTTATCCATTAAATTTTATCATGAGATCTCAATAATTCAGTCACACTTTCAGGTTCTACTTCTAATTCTAGTTCTCTTGCTGTTTCCATCACATCTGCAGTTCCTTCCTCCACTGACTTCTTGAACCCCTCAAATCATCCATGAGGATTGAAATCAGCTTCTTCCAGACCCCTGTTAATGTTGATATTAGACCTCTTTTTGTTAATTACAAATGTTCTTTATGGTGTCTAGAATAGCAAATGCTTTTCAGAAGGTTTTCAGTTGACTGCCTAGCTCCATCAGGAGAATCACTATGGTATCTATAGCCTTACAAAAATGTATTTCTTAAATAATAAGGCTTGAAAGTCAAAATTACTTTTTGATCCATGGGCTACAGACCTTAGTCTCATTGCACATCTTCATCAGAGCTCTTGGGTGACCAGGTGCATTGTGGGTGAGCAGGAACAGTTTGAACAGACTCATTTTTTTCTGAGCAGAAAGTCTCAACAGTGGGCTTTAAATATTTAGTAAACCATGTTGTAAACAGATGTGCTGTCATACAGGCTTTGGTGTTTCATTTATAGAGCACAGGCAGAGTAGATTTAGCATCATTTTTAAGGGCCCCACAGTTTTTGGAATGGTAAATGAGCATTGGCTTCAACTTAAAGTCACCAGCTGCATTAGCCCCTGACAAGACAGTCAGCCTGTCCTTTGAAACTAGGGATTGACTTCTCCTCTCTAGCTATGAAAGTCCTAGATGACATCTTTTTCCAATAGAATGCTGTTTCATCTATGTGGAAAATCTGTTGTTTAGTGTAATGAGCCACCCTCATTAATTATCTTAGCTAGATCTTCTGGATAACTTGCAGCTTCTACATCAGCACTTACTACTTCACCTTGAATTTTTATGTTATGGAGACAACTTTCTTTAAATCATGAACCAATGTCTGCTGACTTTAAACTTTTCTTTTGCAGATTTCTTATCTCTCTTAGCCTTCACAAAACTGAAGAAAGTTGGGGCTTTGCTCTGGCTTTTGGGCTTTGACTTAAGGGAATGTTGTGGCTGGTTTGGTCTTCTATCCAGACTGGCTAAAACTTTCTCCATGTCACCAATAAGACTGTTTTGCTTTCTTACCATTCATGTCTTCACTGGAGTAGCACTTTTAATTTCCTTCAACTTTCTTTTGCATTCACAACTTGGCTAATTGGCACAAGAGATCTAGGTTCCGGCCTGTCTCAGGTTTTGATGTGCCTTCCTCTCTACGCTTAATCATTTCTAGCTTTTGATTTAAAGTAAAGGATGTGTGATTCTTCCTTTCCTTTGACACTAAGAGACCATTGTAGGGTTATTAATTGGCCAAATTTCGACAGTGTGTCTCAAGGAATAGAGAGGCCTGAGGAAAGGGAGAGGGATGGTTTCGTCTGGTTAGTGGAGCAGTCACAACACACAACATTTATTTAACATTTTATATGGGCATTTGCAATTACAATAGTAACATCAAAGATCACTGACCACAGATCACCATAACAAATATAATAATAATGAAAAAGTTTGAAATATTGCAAAAATTACCAAAATGTGACAGAGACATGAAATGAACAAGTGCTTTTGGAAAAATGGTGCCAAGAGACTTGCTTGATGCAGAGTTGCCATAAACCTTCAATTTGTAAAATAATGCAATATCTGAAGCATAATAAAGGGAAGCACAATAAAATCGGGTATGCCTGTAATTTCTACCACCAAAACACATCTGGAGCCCAGCTCTGTGCCTCCATTTTGTTAGGTGCTTCCAGGTAGCTCAGGTTCTCATGATCTCATTTGAATTAATGTTAAAGCCTCATGCTTTCTAGTTTACCTTGCTGCTGAAGCTATGTTTTCAATCATAAATCTGACTTCTCTCCTTTATTCCTTTCTAGACTTTGTTTCCCCAAATATGTCTTAAAAAGTGCTATTGTAATTCATTATGCATGCCTCTCATAATACTTATACTCATTTAAAATTTTTTTTTGGAAAATATAAAATGGTTGAGGGGTTTATGAACTAACCAAAGCCATTTTAGCATCTAACACTTGTCAGTTCCTCTTGGTAAGCATCAGGAGCCTCTGTTAGAAGTAGTTAGGGCCTGGACATCCCTTCTTACATAACTTCACCACTGGGTGGTAATGGTTACAATGGAAGCAAGTCAGGCTTATTCTTTCACTTTATTAATTTTATCATGCATCCTGTTCTTATAAGTTTGGTGAGTTCCCTCCTCAAAGAGAGTGCATTATTGTGGCTACAGGATCAGTCAACCTTCCAGTCAAATGGAGCAACCAAACCTTCCTTTGTGGGAGGAGGGAGCACGCAAGTCCAACTGGAGGTCTAGGTCTAGAATGCCTCTCTCCAATAGAGCTTTCTGTTTTGTGTAGCTGCATTATCCAACACAGTAGCCAATAGCCACATGTGGCTATGAACATTTGAAATGTGTCTGGTATGACTGAAAAACTGAATTTTTAATTTAATTTTAAATTTAAATGTAAATAGCTGAATGGGGTTGACAGCTCCTGTATTGGACATTGCTGGAATAGTGGGCTGTTCCATAAATGTTTGGCTGCTAAGATTGCCAGATTCCAAAATTCTGCTCATGCAAGGGCTTTAGTGCTCATATAGTCTTTCTGTATTGCCATATATGAGCATCAATCATTTGTCAGCAAAACATTTATAAAATCCCTAATGATGACTAACAGAATTTTGGTATAGATGTTGATTTTTGCAATCACCTCTGTAATATGGATTGCTGATAAAGGTATTTCAGATGTTCAGGTGGTAGATTAAAGTTAAAAAATGTATATGAATATACTTATATCGTACTGTTATACTGTGTATAGTATTTTAGAGTAAATATATAGTTTATCACTCAAAGGCAACTGCTATTAAGATTTTTGGTGTGTTTTTTTCTAGTAATCATGCATACATTTTTGTATCATTTATGTCTTTACCATTAAAAAAATCTTCTCCTAGAATGTTATATGGAAAATGGTGTTTGTTAAAAAAAAATGCTAATGAGATTAAAAATTGTCCATTATTTTGAACTAGCTCTACACCCACCTTTGTAAACTATCTTTGTATAAATTGTGAATGTCCTTTATACAAAATCATTTGTTCCCACTCTGGAGAGTGGAGAGAATTACTCTTTTCTGTGTTTCTATATTTTTTTGTGTATGAAATGTTTATCACATGTTCCTTGTATACATCTGTCTTAAAAGAGATTTTTAGTGCCTGGCTAGTGTGGGCCACTAATCTTACAATTTGCTGTGTCTTAGATCTCAGTAAATATTTGTTCAAAGATGAAACAAAGATACAGTTGAGAAAGGATGCTTCGAAGCCACGTTACCTTATCTCAACCTTGTAGTTGGAAGATAAATAAGTTTTTATTTTGTTTTACTTAAAAAAATTTTTTTTTGTTGCCAGAGAAGCTAAATGTAAACTTAGGGAATATGAACTCTTTACAGGTTGCGTTTTGATTCAGTGGCTAAAGTATCTTTTGCTAATGAAAGTTATATTAGAAGCATATAAGTAGTAGTAAAATTTTAAAAACATAATCAGAATAAAGTATTCTATTCCCCTCAGATAGTTGCTGTGGATAAACCTAAAGCCCTAGTAAGTCTTCAGGGAAATATAAGAAATGGAGAAATTCACTGTAGATTTATTGGTGTGTTTAACTGATGAGAGAAACATTTTATCAGTGAAATTATATTTGATTGTAGTTCATTCTATTATTGGCTACTGATTGTGGTATTCTTTATAAATAAAGAATTTTTCACTCTCTAGAGTCACAGTAAATCTTAAAAAATTTTTTACATGGCTGTTTCAGGGATAGGTAAACTTTCTCTGTAAAGGGCTCTTTAGTAAATATGTTAATAAGCTTTGCAGGCTGTAAAGTCTCTGTTACAGCTTCTTCACTCTGCTGTAGTACAAAGGCATCCAAACGATACATAAATTAATAAATATGGTTTTGTTCTAGTAAAGCTGTTTGACAACTTTACTAGATTTGGTCTGTGAGCCATAGATTACGAACGTCTACACTATGTCGTCAGCTAGAGAGACAGGTATTCAATGGAGAAACAGCTAAAATAGAATTAAGATGTTATGATATGAATAATTCTTTCCTTTGTTTTTATGTAAGTGAATATAGGAGATAAACACTTTTATTTTTCTTTTAAACTCATCAGTATTAATGCTTTGGAATTTTTCATAGTGTATTTTTGTTTTACTTCCGATGTTTACTCATTTGTAAGTATTTTTTAGGAGAGAAAAAGGAGAAAAAGCAGCAATCAGTAGCAGGAAGCACTGACTCTAAGCCTGTCGATGTTTCCCGTCTTGATCTTCGAATTGGTTGTATCATCACGGCCAAAAAACACCCTGATGCAGATTCTTTGTATGTGGAAGAAGTAGATGTTGGGGAAACAACCCCAAGAACAGTTGTCAGTGGCCTGGTGAATCATGTTCCTCTTGAACAGGTAATCTGAACAGCTAAAATTACTTCTACATATACATGTCACTTTCATTCCCTCTTTCTGAATGATTTTTCATATGATTTTGTATCAGATTACCATTCAACATGAGCCAATATTGGTTAATTCAGTTGATTCATTTGAATGTAATTAATTCCACCAAAAGTTCATGTAACTACCAAAAACTTGTAAACGATGTATAAATTAAGATCAAATTCATGATCATGGAAAGAAGAAAAGATGTATTATTTTTTCTCAATTTTCAAAAATGTTTTTATATTGGTGTTTTGTATAAAATATAATATGTATTTTTTTCATCTTCATTGTACCATCATGGAATTTTATCATTCCTTGATTTTTTAAAACTCACTGTTACATAAACTCAGACAGCTCCAATCTAAAAGTAAGAGAACGAGGGTTTTTTTTCTTAATAACTCAAGAAGTATTTTCATACCTGAAGAATAAAGAGGAAAGGGAATCATGAAAATCGAACTTGCAGTTTTTAATGGTATTACTTATTCATTCAATGTTGGATGTTTTGTATTTTATTACTTAAGTATTTAAATGTATATATATGTTTCCAATGACATTGGAAAGAATCAAAGACAGTAATAGTTTTTAATTTGCTCTTTCTAGACATCTTCTTTAGTAATTTGAGTTATCTACCTATTTCCTCTGCCTCATGGTGCTTCAAAGATATCACAAAGACCATAGACTTCAGTATTAAGATGGTCTGCCCCTCTGTTCATTGCCAACTCTGTTGCTTATTGGCATTGTGAACTCGCACAAGTTCCTGCATTCATTCATTCATGTTTCTGCATGCAGATATTTATTAAGCACCCACAGCGTACCAGGAATTATTCTAGGCAAGGGGGACAACAGTGAATTAAAATAGATAGATAAGTAGGTAGGTAGGTAGGTAGATAGATAGATAGATAGATAGATAGATAGATAGATATGTTTAAAAAGAAAAAAAAGCAAGAAACCCTGCCTTTGTGAAGCTCATATTCCAATGGGGGAGTCAGAAAATTATAGTACATACTATGTTACATAATGATAAATACCAGGAGAAAAGTAAAGTAGGGAAAGAATCTAGGAAGTATTAAGGCTAGGAAGACGTTGTCTATATAAAGTGGCCAAGGAGTGCCAAAGAAAGTGATATTAAGTAAAGGTCTAAGAAAATGAAGAAAACAAGTTATTCTGTCTGGTGGGAGAGCATTTTCAGGCAGCCCTGAGTCAGATGTATGCCTGGGATGTTTGAAGAACAGCAGGAGGCCAGTGTCACTGTAGCAGAGTAAGCAAGGGGAAATGCCATGGGAGATGAAATCAGAGATGAGGGTGCCAAATAATAAAAGGTCTTACAGATCATTGTAGAGACTTAAGCTTTTATGCTGAGTGAGATGAAAGCCATTGGAGGATTTTTGAGCTAAGGAGTAACATGATCTGTCTCACATACTAATAGTATCATCTGGTTGCTTTGTTGAGGGGAGAAAGATGGAATTAAGGAGATCACTGAAGAAATTTCTCTTATCTCTGAAAAAAAGATAAACTTGGCACATGTTTTGTTTTTTTCTTGTTAACATTCATTTTGTACAGGACCAGGGCTCCTTCATAAGTACTTATGAAGTTAGATTCATAAGGAGCCCTGGAGAAAAGAACCAACTGATCTTGAGCCAGCTCAAATTGGAAAAACTCTTCCTCAATGGGACTTCATCTTTGTTCTTATAAGTTGCAGACTATTTCTTCTCTTCCTAAAGCTGCCACTCGCAGCCACAAGCAAAGTTATTTATATACACATCTGTATCTAACCCATCAAGTCAGTACTAGTAAGCATTCTATAAAGTAACAGCACTTAGCCCCAAAATTGCATGCCAGATTTTCTACATTTGTCTATTTTTCTGAGATAAATATCCCCAGCTATCATCTAATTCTTAACAGAGTGTATGTAGCTAACCCTGTTGTTTTTCTTATACATATTTGCTATGTTTTTTTTTTAAAGTTCTCATTTATGTGACATTACAGTTATTTGTTTGAAGAAGAGTCTAATTCATGAAGACCTCCAAAAAGAGGGCTTTTTACATTCGATTCTTAGGCTTATATTTTTTAATCATAGAATTAGGAGGTAAATTTACACATAACATTTATTTGTAAAATTTTTTTATCCAGAATTCTCACCCACTCTCCTGCCCCATAGTGATTGTGTTCTCATATGTTCTTTTATTTTAAACCTGTTGAAAGAATTTAAACAACTGTGTTTCTTATTTTTGTGTGTTGGGGAAAAAATTAAGAGACTTCAACTTTTGAAGTTTAAAGAAATTTGTTTTTTTCTATAATAAGTTGTAGAAATAGCCCTAAGTTTAATTGTAGTGTGCATACTGCTTGAATTGTTAAGTGAACAGTATTTTTTAAATTAGGAAACGAATCTTGCATAGTTTTGGAAATGACAAACATGTAGGAGAAAATGATTATGCATTTGTTTAGTGCTAATGCTAATCTAAGTGTTTACATACATGTTATGATTTAATCCTTGTGACAAATCTTTGATATCATTTGCTTCATCGACTTTATACAGGGAGATCAACTTTATAGTCTCATTGCTAGTACGTGGTAGCTATTCAAAACCAAATCTGTTTTACTCAATCATTTATTTATTCATTCAATAAATACTTAAGTGAAAGGCCTTACCTTTGCTCTTTGATTTATAATGTATTGGCAGCTTGTAGAATTTTTTTTCATGTTGATATAAAACTTAACAACCTAAAAGATTTGGGACACAAATAAAAATAAAAACAGCCACAAAAATAGAACATTTGCTTTTTAGCATATAGATGTACTTTAATGTATTCTAGCTATGATTATTCTAAAGCTGTATGCATCTTTAATCATCAGTTTGTATTTCACACAGATGCAAAATCGGATGGTGATTTTACTTTGTAACCTGAAACCTGCAAAGATGAGGGGAGTAGTATCCCAAGCAATGGTGATGTGTGCTAGCTCACCAGAGAAAGTTGAAATCTTGGCACCTCCCAATGGGTCTGTTCCTGGAGACAGAATTACTTTTGATGCTTTCCCTGGTAAGTATTTATTAGTCCTTATTTAAAATAGTTTGGAAATTATTGTTCTCAAAGCTGTACTTGGAATGTTTAAATTTAAAATCAGTCCTGTGTATGACTTACAAGTCTTTAACTTTAAATGACTATTATTACTGATATTATTATCAAGTTTATTGAGATTGACTCAAGTTGGCACACTGAGTACAACCATCTAATCACCCTCTTCCCATGAACACTCAGTTTACAGAAAACACCAAAGAGATTTTACCCTAGGTGAAATACTAATTTTGATACCTACATAGCAGAAGAGGGTAATGTGGATAGAGAACAAATTAATGTGCTGCAAAATCATTTAAGCTGTGCATTGTCTCAGAATGCAATACAGAAAAATGAAGAGATAAAAAGTTCAGACAGGAAGGGAAAAATGTATAATTTTCTAAGTCTGTCTAATCATATACTTGCATATGCTTTTACCAGACTTGAGGGTATAGAGAAAAATCTCTTCAGTCAAAATTTATACTTATTTTTATAACCTAAAAGGAAGTTTCATTTCATATTGCTTATTCTCTCCAATAAAATGCTTCTGAGACAGATGAAGCTCCATAATGTGTGAGAAAGTTTCTTCAGATAAGTCTTTGAAGCAGAAGAGAAAGGATGCTTGGCAGATGTAGAAAAATATTTCTTTCTTAAAAGAGGGAAGATCTCGTAAGAGGAAAAAGAGTTAGAAATTAAAAGACTGCATTTACAGAAGCTGTTCATTTGACTTGAGTAAGGGAAAGCAGAAATAAATTAGGATAACAAGTAGAATTAGATTTAAAAGTCAGAATTGATTTGGAGACATACTTGTAGAAATAGCTGAGTTTTAATGGAATAGCAAGGCTGATGTGATTGTATAGTCCTATTTTTTTTAATCCTGTGTTAACTGTGTTTGATGAAATACTAGGATATGAACAATTTTAACATTGGAATAATAAGATTAAAAAAATGGATAAAAGCATGAGTTAGCTTCCTTGAAAGTCAGCTCTCCACTCCTAATCCAAAGTAGACTAATCTAAAAACTACGGAAATTATTTAACAAGTATCCGTGATTTTGATTGCATGTGTATGTTTTAAACTTTGTTAGATTGGAAATCATAATGGTCTGTGCTCTTAGAACTTTCTCTGGTAAATTAGGTTTGGGGAAAATCCCAGTCTGAATCATTTCTCGAAGCAGCATGATGACTTTAGGTTCTAGGAGCACATGATTGCCACTCTACTTACCAGGATATCAAAACACTTCCCCAGACTTCATGCTTCTGGATAAGCTGTCATGTGTATATGTGACAAACCTGAAATTGTTTAGAAGTCTCTCACTAAGTTGGAATGGAATAACAATAATAACCAACTTTTTTCTTTTAGGATTCGTCATATATTGAGGGAAAAAAACCCCAAATCTTGGTTTACCTTTTCAGATTAACATTTGCCTTCCTTTTTACTTAAATACTTATGATTTAGTACATTTTAAGTTTTATTTTTGATATAAATTGTAGATGGTTAGAACTGGAAGAGATCATCTACTTTAACCCACTATTTTACAAATTTGGAAACTGAGACCCATCAAAACTTAGTTACTTGCTTAAGGCTATTTAGAGTTTGTAGAAGGATCAGTAGATGTGCCTGAACCTCTAATACTGTTAGCATTTTTGTTTGTTGATTGCTGCTTACTATGAATTCATATGGACTATTCCGTTAGAGAAGGCTTATAGTTCTTTTTTTTCTATGACAACTTTCATTCCCTTGTCTCATAGAATTAATGGGTTAATATTTCAACACTTGAATCAGTTGTTATTAATTTGAATGTTATTATTAAGTCTATTGACAGTTGTTGTTGTTTTTAGTTACTCAGTGACTAAATTAGAGATGCTAATAACCCAGTATGGGTTTCTTGCCTTTGCTATATTTTTTAATCTTTCAATCTGTTTGGCTATTTGTGTGTTTATATTTACATTGTTCCAAAGTGTGATATTTCTTCCATATTTATAGTTTCTCCTTGTGTCTTAGCATATGAATATATAGATCATGTACAAAAAATATTTGTAAATTGAAAGAAAGGAAAACCTAATGTTAAAGGGGCCCATAAGGTTGTTTGAATTATTTTCTTATAAATTATAATATGCTTAACCAAGCTGAACAGCATCAAATAATTGATACATTTAGAGACATGAGGTCTGTTAATACTCATCTTGCTTATGCTTCCATATCAGTTACTGCTTCTGTAGCAGTAAATCTGAAAGGAAATAACAGTTAATACTATGTATGCAACAGACCATTAGTCTTAATTCTTTCTTCTTCCTTTTCCCAGAGAGAGCCATGATTTATCAGTGCTTTATTTTTCACCATATGTTTTACATTTTAAAGCTTAAGGTGTCTGCTGGTACATTTTGATGTGAAGTTAGATGTACTCAGTGTCTAGAGATTTATATATCATGTTGTATATATTAAGTATGGTATAGAAACTGCAGTTGGGGCTCAAACCTTTGAATTGCTATTTGGCTTTGAATAAGCTTTTACACTTAACAGCTGTTTTCTCCAACTACAAAACCAAAAATTTCCATTGGGTTTAGAAGATGCCAAGTAATATTTTTATAACACTGGCTAAAAACCTCTTCACTACTTTTTTTTTAATCTTAAATGTGTGAAGCCATAAATTTTAGTATTTAAATATGGTAACTGGTCCCTAAAGCATCAAGCAAAAATAACTTGAAAATAGTATTATAGCTAGGAGACAAAGGCTATGACACCCCCCCCTTTTTTTTTTTTGAGAATGCACTATTTTTGGTCTAATGATAAATGAGAATTTGCATTCAGATTTTAACTTCTAAGATCATGCTTATTTCTATTGATATTGAGTCTTATTAATAAATATATGTTAATGTTGAATCACAAAGCATGTATCATATGCAAGAGTCTTTAACTTTTGGACCTATTTGTTCTTTAAAAATAATTTTTTTTATTGAGTGGTATGAGTTCTTTATATATGTTAGATATATATCCAAATATTATCTCTCATTCAGTTGATTGCCTTTTAGTTTTCTTGGTGGCTTTACTTCACTGTGCAAAAACTTTTTAGTCTGATGTAGTCCCATTTGTTTATTTTTTCTATTGTTGCATTTGCCTGAGGAGACATATTTAACAAAATATTAAGACTGATATCAAAGAGGTTACTCCCTGTGTTTTCTTCCAGGAGTTTTATGGTTTCAGGACTTACATTTAAGTCTTTAATCCACTTTGAGTTTATTTTTGTATATGGTGTAAGAAAGGAGTCCAGTTTGATTCTTTTGTATGTAGCTGTCTAGCTTTCCTAACACCATTTATGGAAGAGACCGTCTTTTCCCCATTGTGTATTCTTGCCTCCTTCATCACAGATTAACTGTTGATTTGAGCACGGGCTCTCTTCTGTTCCATTTATCTTTGTGTCTGTTTTTGTGACAGTATACTGTTAAAATTACTACAGCTTTGTAGTGTAATTTCAAGTTTGGTATAGTTTCAAATATGACACCTCCAGCCTTGTTTTTCTTTCTTAAGATTGCTTTGGCTATTTAAGGTCTTTTGTGTTTACATACACATTTTAGGATTATTTGTTCTAGTTCTAAGAAAAATGCCATGCAAATTTTGGTAGAGATTGCATTGAATCTGGAGTTTGCTTTGGATAGTATGGACACCTTAGCGATACTGATTCTTCCAGTCCATGAACACAATGTATCTTTCCATTTATTTGTGTCATCTTCCGTTTCTTTCCTCAGTGTCTTACAGTTTTCAGAGTACAGGCCTTCCAACTCCTCAGTTAAATTTATTCCTAGGTATTTTTTGAGTCAGTTGTAAATGTGGTAAGGATGTGGAGAAAAGGGAACCCTCGTGCACTGTTGGTGGGAATGTAAATTGGTGCAGCCTCTGTGGAAAACAGTATGGAGATTCCTCAAAAACCTAAAAGTAGAATTACCATATGATCCAGAAATTTCACTTCTAGATATTTATCTGAAGGAAACAAAAACTAACTTGAAAAGATATATGCACTCCTATGTTCATTGCAGCATTATTTATGATAGCCAAGATATGGAAGCAACCTAAGTGTTCATCGATAGATGAATAGATAAAAAAGATGTGGGAAATATATATATATATGTATACACACACACAATGTAATATCACTGAACCATTAAAAGAATGAAATCTTACCATTTGTAGCAATACGGATGGACCTGGAGTGTATTATGCTTAGTGAAATAAGTCAGATAAAGACAAATCCCATATGATTTTACGTATATGTGGAATCTAAAAAGCAAAACAAACAAATAAAACAGAAAATTGTAGATACAGAGAACAAACTGATAGTTACTAGAGGGGAAAGAGGCTGGAGGATGGACAAAATAGGTGAAGGCAATGAAGAGGTACAAACTTACAGCTATAAAATAAGTAAGTCACAGGGATATAATGTATATGTAGGGAATATAATCAATATTGTAACAACTTTGTATGGTGACAGATAGTAATTGATCTTATTGCAGTTTTCATTTAATAATGTATAAAAATATCGAATTACTATGTTGTATACCTGAAACTAATAAAATGTTTCTTAAAATTAAAAAAAAAAACCTGTCTGTATTTGATTCTTTTCTGTAAAACCCATTTTGATGAGGTTTCTCTGTCCACTGTTCCACCAGAACTGCTCTTGTCAAGGTCACCAGTTACTCCCTTTAGCTAAATCCATGGCTAGTTCTCAGTCCTTAATTAATTTTAACTTGGCTTCTGACACCACACCTGCGTGGTGGTCCTCATGCTTCACTGGCTACTCTGCTCGTCTCCTTTGCTGATTCTTCTTACCTCCCTGACCTCTTAGAGTGCCTCCAACCTTGTCCCTTGACACTTGACCTTTTCTCTTTTTCCATGCTTGACCTCTTCTCTTTTTCTTTCCATGTTCATTCCCTTGGCTCTATTATTCAGTCACTTATACCTACTAGTCTTCACTAACATTTCCCAAGGGAAAAAATGCATCTCCCAATCTTCTACCTAGATTTCCTTTTTCCCGTAGTATTTCCCATCTCATCCCTCAGGCACTACACTCTCCCAGTTGCTTAACTGCTTTTTTTCTGAACATGTCTGGAATTACATTCCAGAAAAATGTCAGACATAGAGTAGGAGGTCAATAAATTGGTTAATGAAGGAAACATGCTAGTAAAACATGTAAAAAACACACCAAAAAAACCCCACCAGTGTTTGGAGAATAGACCTGAGTATCTGCCTTCATGGCTGCCAAGATCATTCCTGTCAAAAACTACTTTTCTCTATTAATTAGTTTTGTAAAAGTGATTGACCCCCTATTTGCAATGTTATACTTTAGTGTTTGTACCACACAAGGTGGTAGTTAACAATTATTATAATTCAAAAGCTCAGTTAATGAAACATAAAGTAATTAAGTTAGTGCTAAGCTTTTTATGGCCTTGGCAGGTATCAGAGAAGCTGATGATCAGTGAGCATTTTGTACAATAGAATGGCCTAATTAAAATGAAATTTTTGGCTTCTGTTCCAGACTTGTGAAAGCCTGGATCTCTGGAATTCATATTTACTACTATTTGTAGATTTTAAATGCTGAGGTGGTAGTCAGAGCTTTTTACATCTGTACAGACTTTTCTCTGAATTAGTTCCTATTATCTATGTGTTTTATTTAGAATGAGTAGGCCTAAAATAATCTCTGAAAGATGAGTTATCTTGCAATATGTGTATTTCCAAATGATGATTATTGGTATGTGTTTAGCAATTACAGAGGCTCTACAGTTTTTAGCTTTAAGAACTTTTATTGATATCATCACTTACCTTCTTTGGATAGCCATAACAAAAAAAAAAAGAAAGAAAGAGAAGAAAATTAGGAAAATAAGATTTATAAGAAGGATATAACACAGGCATGATCAAAGATTTCTCTGGAAAATAGAGTTTATTTTTTTTTAAATGTTTAAAATACTAGGTAAACTTTTCATGGGAGGTGATTTAAACTTTCGTTTCAGACTGACTTTATACCCTACCAAACAGTGTGTTACTGGGAAATGTTTTGAGTAAGCCAGAGGCTAGCACTGTTTTCAAGACTTCAGCTCTGATTTATATTTGGTGATCATAATGTGATGGGTTTTAATGCAATCTCAAATTTTTAGTTGTGTGAATCAGTTTCATTTACTGATTTGCTAAAGCCTTCCAGCCACATTCAGGGTGTTCAGGTATTGAGCCTTATGTGTACAAAACAAAAGTCGAGATTTGGAGGTTCCTCTCATTAACTTCTAGTTCATTTTTAGTTCAATTCTTTGTTTCTGGAAAATTATGACAGTCTTGTGTAAGAACTTTAAAACCTTCAGATCTTAGCTCCACCAGCGTTGGGTGACCTAGGAACCTTTCTGAGCCTCAGCTGTTGCATCTATAAGAAGGGATTTTTCATGGTATTTGTTTCTTGTGAGTTTTGTGAGGTTTAATTTTTTAAACACTTAGCTACCCGCCTGGTATTTTAAATTCTTAGCTGCAGCTCTTGTGCCTCTATTTCCTCACTTGTAAAATGGGGGTAATTAATAGCATTTAATACACTGAGGGGATTAAATGAGTCAATACACATAAAGCACATAGTGCAGTGACTGGCACATAGTAAGCACCATGTAAGTGGAAGTGTTATGTATTGTTATGAATATTACTTTCTATACAATGTTAATATCTTCCTGGATCTGATAAGCTTAATTTTCTGCTGCACTGCTCAGAGCATATGTCTGCAGTCAGCAGAAATTTACCCACACAATGTATGGTCTTGATTAGAAGCTTTTACACAAACCTGGGGATGATCTACTTGAATTCATTATCTGTCTGTCAACATCTTTTGGTGGATATAGGGAGTGTGGATTCAAAGTTAGTACGCAGGCCCTCTGAACAATGTGTCTGCCTTCAGCTTTTCAGAATTCTAGAATGTTTACTTCCCCACATGATCTGTGCACAAAGTGGGATTATGCTCTTAGAGTAAGCAACAGTTGAGAAACAAAAAATAAAAATTTTATACTTTATATACTGAAATTTTTTTCTATTCTTTTATTAATTAGTTTTTCTGTTGCCCAGTCAAATCATCAAATGATCTTAAAGGGGTAAGAAAAATCATCTTTTATACTAGTCAGTCTTAGTTTTGGTTTCATTGCCTGTTCTACTATAGATACATTATTCAATCAACTGTTCCATCGTCTCTGAAAACCTATGTTTCAGAGGATAGTTTTGTATATTCTTGCAGTTTTGTGGCAGTTTCTGAGAGCTAATAAAATGATCTAGAAAGTTATATTTCTATTATTACTGAATAGATATTCAGTAATATTTATTAATAGTTATTACCTCCAGGAAAATCGTTTTCCATTTGAAGCTAACACTTAAGAGATTCATTGCTTTTCTTCATTGTTTTTGAAGCTGATTCTTCATTCCAAATATTACTGTACTTTTCCAGCTACTTAAATGATGTTATATTAAACTTTACTCTCTACTTCCTCATCATTCATTAAGTAGAGAGATTGCTTGGTAAATTGGTAGTCTTTAAGGGTAGACCACATTTATTCTACAATGTATTTACTTTTATTGATTGTAAACTTAGTAGTGTGAGCTACCATAAAGAGAAGAGATAAGATAGTATCCACATGTAAGAGTGTTGTTTCTTTTCTAAAGCATAGTCTATTAGGGGGCAAGTTTTTGGTATCAAATCTGACTCTGCTTGTTGATTGTGTGGCTGAGCAGCTTATCTTCTCTAAGCCTCAGTTTCTTTATATTTAAAATTGCATGCAACAACATATATTCCTGGTGGCTAGATAATACTAGTCCTTGTCTCCTTACTCTTTACTCTCCCTTTCTCTGTCCATCTCACCACATGGAATGGACTGCAGATGAAACCCAGAGTAGTTATTACATTTAGCTCGATGACTCCAATATTTAAGCCAGTATTGGTAAGAAATCTTTATATACTATAGCAGCAATCTAGTCATTGATTTTGTATGTTGAAACATACAGTAAGGCATAAGCTGTTTCTGCCATGTGTAAAAATATAACACATCAAATTTATGGTCTCATCTTTGTACTATCTTTATGTATAGTGATAAAATGAGTATCTTATGTTTTCATTCTAATCATTTAGGGAATAAATTTACTGAGCTATATAACTGGCAGAACTATTTACAATAAGAGTTAAAATAATATCTTCAATATTTGTAAGGAAATAACAAAATATTTTACCAAACAATAATATAAACTGCTGACATCTTAAAAATAAAATAAGTGTTAAAGGTCTGAGGATCAGAAATTGCATCCAACCCAATTCACTGGAAATCTTTGTGGGCATTTTTTTTTAAATTGAAGTGGAGTTAATTTACAATATTGTGTTAGTTTCAGATGTACAGCAAAGTGATTCAGTTATATATGTATATGTACATGTATATGTATTTTTTTCATATAATTCCCTATGCTGTACAGTATTAACTTGTTTATCTATTTTTTATATATATATATATAATAGTGTGTATCTGTTAATCCCATACTCCTAATTTATTTCTCTCCCCTTTGATAACCATAAGTTTATATTCTATGTTTGTGAATATATTTCTGTGTTGTTAATAAATTAAATTGTATTTTTTTTAGATACCACATATAAGTGATACCATAAATTTGTCTTTCTCTGTCTCAGTGACTTCACTTAGGATGATAATTTTGATAATTTCTAGGTCCATTGGCAATATTTCATTCTTTTTCATGGCTGAGTAATATTCCATTGTATATATACCGTACATCTTTATCCATTCATCTATTAATGGACACTTATGTTGCTTACATAGCTTGGCTATTGTAAATAGTGCTTATATGAACTTTAGGGTGCATGTATCTTTGATTTAGAGTTTTCGTCTTTTCTGGATATATGCCTGGGAGTGGGATTGCTGGATCATATGGTAGTTCTTTTTTTAGTTTGTAAGAAAACTCCATACTGTTTTTCTATGGACAATTTATTTGATATGTTAGCTACGTAATTTTTTTTCTCCCGAACAGGAGAGCCTGACAAGGAGCTGAATCCTAAGAAGAAGATTTGGGAGCAGATCCAGCCTGATCTTTACACTAATGAGGAGTGTGTGGCTACATACAAAGGAGCTCCCTTTGAGGTGAAAGGGAAGGGAGTTTGTAGGGCTCAAACTATGGCCAACAGTGGAATAAAATAAAATAAAATGTTTCAGTTACTGAAATACTTTGGGGAAAACTTAACAATAAAAAAAAATACATTTGTCACTTGTATCTAAAATATAACTGGCCTATTTTTGTTTTATTTCTCTTCTAGACTTGACTAATGTTTTACTTGATATATATTGTTTTCAATTGATTGGAGAAATGCTTCATTTTTGCCTATGCTTTTTGACCCTTTAGAATATAGGGAGGAAATTGCCTGTATTTCATGAAGATTTGTTTTTCAGGGGGGATGTTGGCTAGCACATTGCTTTTTCTTTATACCTTTAGATAACTTGAACTATATTAATATGTAGTTTCTTATTTGTAGGGGCATGTTGCATGCAATTGGAAGCCCTTGGGTTTCTATTATATTGTGTATCCGTATTATAAATGTACTCTCCTTTTTAAGAATGGCAGGTTAGAATTTTTGTCAGGCTTATTAACTAGTCATATTTTAATAATATTGAAAATGACCAACTGTTGATTCTAGAGAGCTGAATATCGTAAAAGCTAGAAGACATGACATTTGAATATTATTGCTATTGCTTGCCAGAGTAACCCAGACTGGTAGTATACTTAAGGTGACTTTTTTAAAAGACTGAAATTTCCAACTCTGTACCGAACTTTTTCTTTCCATTTAGCAAAACAATTAGTAATAGATTTTGACTAGCTCTGAAGAATAAACACATTGCAAAGTGTTGCCAGTGTAGTTTCCAGTAAATTGACCATAAAAGCAGCAGTCTATTTTTTTATTCTAGGTGGCTTCTTATAAAGATTCTTTAGATACTTAGTAAAAGATTATTTATAGCTTTTATGTTTAGGAGAGCATTTAAGATTAATGTATTTTATTTTTTATGTACCATCATACA